TGCAATTCTGCCATTGCAGACTGTGAGGCTGCAATGGAAGCTGCTCACAAGGCAAAAAGGCTCACAAAGCAGGCCAAGAAAGACACAGAGTCTATGCTGGACAACCTCAAAAACACAACCAAAGTGCTCAAGGATGTTCTGGCTAAGAAAGACAGAGCAATGCCTTTGGGCAAGGCTACGGACCTATTGGTGGAAGCTGGGTTTTTGATTAAGGAGATCAAAGAAGAGAGCAAGAAGCTGAACCAGCTGGCCAACAAAGCTGGCAGCAAAGCCTCCAAGAAATAGATTGCATACACAGACCTTGTCTCTCAGGGCCCCCCCCCCTTGTCTTGACAAAAGATGAAGGGAACAACGCAGCCACAACATGCCTTGACAAAGGGCGCACAACCCATTCCATGAAGCCCAGCAGCTTTGCCTTGACAAAAGGGAACCAAATACATGAAGCAATGCCTCTTGACAAAAAACTCCTTGACGAAAGGGTGGGTTCTTTGTAGGGCACTTGACAAAAGATCCCTTTGGTGTGGTACAATGGCCAGCAAGCACCTACCTTCTTGACAAAAGAGGGAAGGGTCAGCAAGACATGCGCACCAGAGTCCAAAAAAACTGCTGACGGGGGGAGGGGAGGGGAATGAGGGCTGAAATGTTGCTGTTCAGTGACTTGTCCAGGGGCTGTCTTAAAACAAGGTTTTGGAACTAGAGTGTTGGGAAGAACTTGTCAAACTTGTCAGCTTGCCACTCTTGCCCCTTCCCAGTTGTAGCCCTGAAGGGTTGGTGGGCCTATAGTCAAAGTTGCTGTTGCAGCCTGGGCTCAAGAACATCCTTGACAAAAGGGCTTTGTCAGCCACAAGAAGTGCCCACAAGCATGTGACTTGGCTTTGTCAGCCAGCAAACCCTTGACAAAAAAGGGGTTGCTACATACTTGACAAAAGTATTGACATGGCAGGCGCAAGGCCACCCAAAAGATTGAGGGGGTGGCAGTGGGAGAAAGAACAACACAGTCCTTTCCAAAAAGACCCCATGGAGAGTGCAATTGCTAGTGGCCCACTATGCTCTAGGCTTATTGAGCTGTGGAGCCAAGGAAGATTATCAGCCAGCCAAGTTTCTGAAATCTGCTACCTTGTCTTCTTAAGCGGGTGTGATCATCCGGAAATTCTTGCAATTGCCAAATGTGGCAACTTCCAGCAACAAGCTGGGAACTGTCACAGGGACTTAGTGAATCTGCAATGCAAGTCTTTTAAAATTGCAGATCCCCACCCAGTGAAGACATGGGTGAAAGACCCAAAATCCCAAAAAGCTGTTCAAGAAGAGCTCCCTGTGCTTTTGCCACATGTCCAGTTCAGCCGGCTCAGCCAGGAGTACCCTGAAGGGTTTGGCACAATCTTTGCCACCTCTGAATGCCAAGCCTTTTGGCAAGGTGTTGAGAAGGCAAAAGACCCAAGGCTGGTGAAGCCCATTGGCTCCAATGGCAAAGTGCACGCCCCTGCTAAAACAATCCCCTTGTTTATTCATGGGGATGGCTGTGAGTTCCAAACCAGGGACAGCCTCATGACTTGGTCCTGGGGCAGCCTTTTATGTGGAAACCCCAGCCTGTCTTGCCACTTGCTTCTAACAGCAGTGCCAAAATCCTGCACTTTACCAGAAACACGGGGGCAACTGGATACTTGGATTGCTTGGTCTTTTCAGGCCTTGGCAAAAGGCATGCACCCAACAACAGACCCATGGGGCAAGCCCTTGACAAAAGGCGATTTGTCCCAGCTGGCTGGGCAACCCTTGTCCAGTCAGGGGTACAGGGCAGCCATCTGGAGCATTCAGGGGGATAATGAGTTTTATGCAAATGTCCTCAAGCTACCCCACTGGCAGAACCAATACCCCTGCCATGAGTGTGACTGCCAAAGGCCTGTCTACAAGAAAACCAGGTGTCCACCTGGAAAGTCAGTCAAGATCCTGAAGGAAGAAGACCAACACTTCAATGATGTTTCCCCAGCACAAGCTGCCCTTGACAAAAGGAGCAGCCACCCCCTCTTCAGCATTGAAGGTGTGTCAAGTGCCCTTGTGGGAGGGGACAGCTTGCACATTCTCTACTCCAGAGGGGTGGCCTCACACTTGGCAGGGGGCTTGATCCACTACCTTTGCTACTATGACTGGCCAAAAAGGCAAGCTGTTCCGCCTACACAAAGGCTTGCAAAGATCTTCTCCAAAATCAGAGAGCTCTACTCTGAGAAGCAAGTGCCCAACAGGATGACAAACATGAGGCTGTCCATGCTGACAGATACCACAAAGCCCCACAAAAGGCCTCCATGTTTGGAAGCAAAGGCTGCAGAAACCAAGTGGCTCTTGCCATGCTTGGAAGCCTTGCTGGCTGAAGTTCTTGATCCTGAAGAAGACCCTATTCATAGCACAATGCTGGAGTGCATTGGTGCATTAAACCAGTTGATTAGCCACATGGACAACATTAGTGCCTTCCCCACTGCCTCTGAGTACAAAGTGGTTGATCGCTTTGCCAAAAGGTTTTTTGATTGCTACCAAGACCTCCATGATTGGGCCTTGGCAAAAGGCAGAAAGCTGTTTCATATAGTTCACAAATTTCATTCTTGAAGGCACTTGTTCAAAAACACAAGATGTCTCAACTACAGGGCCCACCACAACTTCAAGGCTGAAGATTTTGTTGGGAAAATATCCCAGCTTGCCCACAGCTGCAGCTTTGGAGTGGGCTCTACAAGACTGCCTGCCAAGATTATGGAAAAGTACAAAATCCTAGTACACCTTCAGCTGACCAAGCCTGGCTTTGGCTTTGTGATGGAAGATGATGTCTGCTAGTTGCCCTTGACAAAAGGCTTTGCCTCTTCAACCGTATCTTGACAAAAGAAAGTTGCCCTTGACAAGGGGGTACCTCTTCAACCATTTCTTGACAAAAGAAATGAGAAATTGTTTAAAGCAGCTTGTTCAGCTTAAGCCTTTTGACAAAAAAGGTAGAGCTCATTTTGACCAGCCTCAGCTTTTGACGCTTAAAGTGCAACCTGTTTGCTGCTCCCCTGTTGACAAAACAGGAGCAGCTGGCCAAAGACCCTGCTTTGATTTGGGCTTGAGAAAAGCTGCTCAAATATATTGATTTTAAAGGTCGGATATATATTGATCTAAGAGGCTTTCAAATCAATAATTTGCAACTGGAAAAAAACAATATCAATATGAGTTTGAGAATATTGATTAGAATCAATACCCGATGCCCAGGGTGGGGCACTACTGGTTGATTCCTTTTCCATTCTTTTTAACTACCGTCCCTTTCTTTCAAAAACCGGATCCGTTTTCCCAGGGTCTAACGGTGATTTTCTAGCAAGAAGGATCCCCGGAAAGAATGGGGAAGCTATCCTAAGAATTCTCGGGTTTGGGAGCATGTTCAACCACTTCCCTACCGGGATCAAACCTCAGATGATGGGATGTTAGCAGCCTCCACAGAAAGAATCAGTTGGAGAACTTGACAATGGACCCCAAAAGGAGGCCATGGCCATACCGTGCTTTTATCTTTTGGATTAGGCTGATTGTATAGGTCCATATATGAGCCCATGAGCCCATGGCTATTTGGGCCCTCTGGGGGCTGGTTTTGCATAATTAAGCCAGCAACTCACGGTTAAGTAACCCGTGTACTGGGGGTTCATACGAGGGGTTCATACCAGGGGTTCATATACGGATGTATACATTCAGCCGTTGACCAGCCGTTGACCAGCCTTGTGATGGGGTCAGGAGACAGCAACTGTTCAGTGAGTGAAAACCATCTGAAGCCAGTCTGAGTTGGGGACATCTTGCTATAGCTGCAAGAAGCGGCTGGGTAGGTATGTGTCCATCCTAGGCATATCCTAGATGATGCTTCGCACAGTTTTGTGCGAATGTCACAAAGTCTTTGACCCCGTCTCAGAATCCAACGTGCTTAGCTTGCGAATGCGGATTGCCATGCCCCAAACAGCCGCACAGCGGGCGACGTGCCTTTTTCATCACGTTATGTAGCAAAGCAGGAACGTGCTAGCTGCAACAGGCGTGCCCGAAACAAAATCAATGCCTGCTGGGCATGGCATGGTTTCTCTCCAAATGGGAGACTCCCCAATGGGATCAAACCCGATTCGAATATTGGGATACATCACCTACAAACTGGTCCAATATTTGTTACCGGTAGCTATATACATATATACATATCGGTAAAACGACCAACGGCCCCCAAAGCCATCCCCCGAAAAGGCTCTTAGGGTTCGACTGAATGGACCTCGTTTTGTCGGTGGGTACGTTGCTTTTGTCAGTGCACTCAATCATGAGGCTGAATTGAAAAGGAAACCAAGGGGGAACTGGGCCTCTAGCTCACGATTCGCACAAACATCTCTCTCTCTCTCTCTTTGGGGGATCCCCCTGTGTTGGGTTACATATGAGTGTATCTCAAAAAAGGGGGCATTTGCAAAGACATGTTGTTGTTGCTTTGTTTTCGTTGGTTTCCCAGGAACAAACTCCACAATGGGTACCTAACCTAAAAAAGGCCCCATATGGGTGGCTCGTCTTTCAGGGGGCCCCGAAAATGGTTTCTCCTTTGGGTCTTCCGTAAACCACCACACAAGTGGTACCTTCAAAAAGAGGGGCACGGCGATATTATACTCTAGTACACCTAAAAGTAGGGGTACTCCCAACAGAGCCCTCTTTCCCATTTACCCCCCGCAAGAACCAAGGCTTCAACTCCAAAATCCAAGCAACCCGGCTCCAACCCACCAACCAAAGGGGTAGTTGGCTGTGGGTCAAAACCCAGTACCCCTGAACATCAAAATAGGTGACAAATGGATGAACAAATCCACCCCAAAATGCAGCCATAGGTTATGCCCCCATGGTCAGTTGTGACTTACCCCCTACAAGAACCCAGGGCTCAAATCGTCCAAATCCAAAAAATCCAAGCCACCCGGCTCCAACCCACCAGCTAAGGGCTAGAGTCTTAGCTTGGGGGGGGGGGCTGAGTAAAGCGGCCGAGGCGCCTTTCCAGGCCGCCTGGCACAGCTCTTTGCCCGTCAAGCCCTGGGGCACGCCATCCTCCGGGACGCCCCGGAAGCCGTATGGAGACCGGGTAAAAGCTCGAGTTGAAGCAAAGAAATGCCCGCAAAAGAAGGCTTGGGTGACAACAGAGTCCCTTTGTTTTGTTTTTCTTCTTGGGGGGGGGAGGGCGTGTACTTGTGTTTACTTGCAATATGGCAAGGGCATGTGTAAATCCGCACATGGACAGTGAAGGGACAACATTCATGGATGAAATCCTGCACCAGTTGATTGGTGTTTCAAAAACCATGGGGTTTCTTTCATGCCAGGCGAAGGATTTCGCCCGTATCACCGAAAGCGGAACTGGACAGGAGGCCCTCGGATGATGGTAGTCTTCCCAAACACTCCTGTCTACTTCCATCATTGTTGGAAAGAGATTGCCAACAACAGTGAGGTAAACAGGGGGTTAAGGTACATGGTGATTGCACGTGAATCTGCGTTACCTAAAAACAGCTGGGGTAAGCCAGGGTAAACCAACAAACAAAGGGAGTCACAGCATCAAACTACACAACACACACACACACCAATAGTTGCCAACTGGATAATTACCCCTGTAAAGAGTCTTCAGCTGGCCCGAAGCTTGTTTAACCCATTTTAACCCCAACATTTGCAAACTCATGATCCCGGGACCTTCGCTCATATTCTGGAACCTGAAAGCGGCTTCCCACCGGTGCCTGATGGTCCATGCTACGAGTGCTACGAGTTCAAATAACGGGAAAGTCTATGCCTAATGGAAAACGAGCCAGTCGCATCGTAGACTCCCAAACAATCAAGAAAACCAAGCTTGGACACGCAATACTCGTAGTCCAACTGGCGTCTGGGAAAATTTGTCCATCCACGATGTTATGGCTGTTGCCTGGGCCATTCCAATCCAGACACCGGCGACCAAAAATCGAATGCGGAATTTTGCTCCAAGGTAACTACCGTAGGACCAAATCCTGTCGTTGGGAGGGGTTGCACATCCAAAGTAATTATCATAAATGGACAAGATCCAGGGGTGAGGCCCTATGAATCTGGGATAAGCCCTATGGATTTCTCTGCGGCTCCTTCTTGATCCGATCATGCCAGCCCATCTCCGGGCTGTCTCCCGTGATGACGGTGCCTCAAAGAGGTGGGGCGATCCAAACCTTTGGTTTTTCAAACCGGGGATTTTTTCTAAAAAGGCGAAAGCACTTGTTTTAAGTGTTCTGGTTTCATAAAGGAAGCAATGACAACACCGGGGCCCCTTGTTTGCACAACTTCTTTCAACCAAACCATTTGCACCTTGCCCAACAGTTTCCCCCAACTCTCCTCCCACCTGTGCCCCCAAGGAAGCCAAGCCACTGGGCGGTTTGATCCAGGGAAAACGGAAAATGCGTCTAGCAGAAGCTTGGCATAACTAACTTGACACTTGCACGATTGTTGTGTTTTTTGCCGAGGCAGGCTAAAAAAGGAGCCACCCTGAAGCGGCTTACTATGGTTTATTGCTCTCCAGGGTGCGAAAACAGCTTGTCAAGCCCTACTGGGCGCCAATCTGGATGTCTCATATCTGGCATGCTTTTTGGAAAGGCCCGAACGAGGGTTTGTCCTTTTGACTGGGTAGGAGCCGGATCAAACTAAGGGTGACCAACAATGGCCGGCCCATAGCATGAGCTGCGTTGAAACACGCAAGCTTGAGAAGCATTCAAAGGGGCCTTGGAACCTCCGGGGACTGAAATCCCGGAACTGGTTCAACCAGCTTCCTCGGTTCTTGACATGCAGTAAGCCATTAGAACTCTTTGCCTCCCTCCCTGAGCTGATGGGCCAAAAAAGTTCAAACTTCTGATTTGCCACCCAGACTGTCTTCCCAAAACGTTTAAAGTCCAGGAACTCAGGAAGTGAGTTGCACATCATGGCTGCCTGGATCGCTTTTTCGTTTTTGCCGAGGTTGTCTGAGCTGTTGCAAAGCCTCAGGACCGTCCTCAAGCTATATCGCCAGCATGTGGCCACGCGACTGCTTGGCAAACAACACGCCAGAACTGCTTGTTTGAAGCTAACGCTCACGTGAGCGGCATTGTTTTTACTCAAGGCACGAGACTCACTTCCAGCAAAAAACAGTGGTGGCACTTCGCATCTGCCCCACCACCCTCATAATGATTCTAAGACACGAATCACGAAACCCATTGTAGAAAACGAGCTAGTTGCCCTCGAATTGGGGAACCCACCAGCCAAACAAGTCTGTTCTAGAATTTCAACTATAGTCTGGCATGACGCTTTAGGATGAAAGATCGATTTTGAGCAACCCACTTGTGGCCCCAAGGGCCAAACAAGAGACAACTTCAACCATTCACTTTGGCACCCCTTCTTCGACAAGCTCACACATTTTACCAAAAACAATCACATCCACTCACCATGCCCAGCTTGCCCACCATGCCCGCCACGCCCACCCACATGTGCCAAGCCGCCCATGCTGGCATAGACCACCCGCCTTCCTTGCGCCTTGGCCGCCCGAAGCATCGCCACCACGTCCGCCGCGGGCTCCGCGGCCTCCGCGCGCCCGTCGCTCAGCTCGAACTTGTGGCCGGCGGCGCGCTTGGCGCCCGCTTTGTCCAGCAAGGGGCCGACGTACCTGGGCCCAAAACCATGTGTTTGAACCAGGGGAGGGGGCTCACAAATGGTTTGTTCTCTGTTGGTTAGTATTCTAAACCAACCTGCAAAAGGCCCCGACCGGAAAATAATAAGGCGGGGGGCGGGGGGGGGGGGGGCAAAATGGTTGGTGTCCTTCTGGCTTTTGTCTTCAAGTAACCTGAAAGAGCCCACACCAAAGACAACACACTTCTGGCTGGCGCCCGGAAGTTCATGGCCGAACACTAATGGGGAAACAAATGGGAGACCTAAGGCGATGTTGATTCGGAAGCCCAGCCTTTACGCCCCAGGGCTATGGGGGGCCAGAAATTTGGGCCGACACCTCGAGGCTTGCCAGGCTTGAGAAGTCCCAAGCCTCCCAGGTCGCAGACCTACTGGCACTGGCTGCATGCTTCAAAAAGAGCCCAAGCCGCCAAAGGCCGCTCAGGAGCAATCTTAAGGCCATGTCGTAGCTTCCACCCGGATGTTCAACCTTGCAAATTACTCCGGGTGAGTCCCCCCAAATTGAAGGATATTCAAAGAATTCCCTTACTCAACGCAGGGGTTTCGTCAACAAGGAAATCCATGAACCCTAAGGGACGGGCAGTTGTTTTTTAAGCGAGGTGCGACAAACTGGAGAGCGGCATTCTTCACATCGGCGAACGAAGGTGGGTGCTTTTGCAAAACCGGGTCCCCTTTGTGGATGGGAAGCCAAAGGGAAGCCACTCTTGTTGGATGCTTTCAAACGAACACCAAGCAGACACCACACGATGTCCGGCCTCCTTTTGCCCCAATCATAAGCTGCCCTTCGGAATGAGACTCAGGAATACGTTCGATTGTTCCAGGATTGCTACTGTAGGTACCCGCAGTTTGTTGAAACATCCGTGTTGCCAGGCAAGATTTCGCTGTTTGCTTTGATTCTATCTCTCTCCCCCTCTCTTCGACGCAACGGTACATGGCCCCCAAGTACGCCTGAACGCCTGTCAAGGTCTGTGAGGCAACGTGCAACGCCTGCGCTAAACGCACTCCTCAAACGAAGCAAATGCTTGGCGACACCCTCATGGAACCTGACCAAAAGAGACCCTCTGGGGGGTTCTACGACGACCCCCTCTGCCCGGGGCAGCCGAGTTTTGGCAGAACGTAGGTTCTAATGCGGCAACGAGCCGTCGGGTGTTTGGAAATGGCTGATTTCCATTTGGTTCTCCTCAAAGCCCAACCAAAAAGGGATCCAACAAGAACGACGCACCCACACTGAATATTATCTCAAACTGGGGGAGGCCCAAAAAATGTGGCGCCTGGCTTCGCGTTGGTTTCAAGCCCCAGCTTTGTTTGTTGTGGCCCGGGCCGCGCGAAGGTGCAGCCGGCTGCGTCGTAGAGCTTTTGCAGATCTTGGGGCAAAGGATCTGAAAGGAACCTTGGAGATCCAACGCCCCCCTGGCCTCACTTGGGTTGGCCATAGCACCAGCAGAAATCGATAGGGCAAACAGTTCATGACTCTGCGCAGGTTGAAAGGGAACATGATGGCCAACCAAACAGGAAATTGGCAGCTTAAACCTGGCTATGTCAAGTAGCTATAGCTCATAATCATAACTGGAGCCAGGCCAAAAGGGTGATGTCACCCCACCCCACCCCCCCCCACTTCCCCCACCCCCCCCCCCACAAAAAGTAACTCACGGCTATGTATATATATGTTTATATATATATATATAGTATGTATATATATATATTTATTTATTCCCATGTGTACATATAACTAGAGATATACGCAAAGGGACCCCTGCTACTTCGTGGGTTTTTTCACCAACAGGTTTCGGGTGCTTCGGGCTTAACACAGCCTAGATAGCGAAGTTGCTGCTCTTGTTCAGTCACTGTTGCTTTTTTTTTTTTTTTTTTTTTTTTTCGGGTAAAGTAGATGAAAAAAACAGCAACTGACGATCCAGCAGGGTTTCAAAGCGTCTGAGCGGGCGAGGAGCTCAGCGGTGGTCACCAAGGTGAGCTTCGACTCGCAGGAGGCAGCGCTGAGGCCCATGGGCCACATGTCGTCCGTCAGCTCCACCTGAATCAAGCGCCGTCGGCGCGCTGGCTCGACCCCACGTCTTTTTTGTTTTCCTCCCATTGGAGGCAAGACATCTACGGGTTCTGCTACTTTGTCCATATCAAACATCGCCCCAAGAGGGAAGCTCATAGCATAGCACACATCCGGGGCAACTACACCACCAGGATACGTTCAGCCCAAGGGCTGAGGGGCACCTTTTGCCAGACTTGGCCTACAGCAAGCATGGAATTCAGACCAGCGGGAATACCGTCGATTTCGGGCAAGAGAAGTGGTTCGCGGACGCGCAACAGGGAAGATGACGATGGTAAGTCAAGTCTTCCCGGCTCCCAAAAGCTTTCCCTTCCCCTGTTCCTGCCGCTCAGAGTGACAGCTTAGGTGTTCTCAGATGTCGGTTCGAAAAACGTCCAAAGCGGGTGGCCTAACTTTGGACTTTCTTTGCCGCTTGCAGCCAAGGGAAAAGCGGGAGCCTCGGAGGGATCGGTCAGAGAAAGGAGTTCAAACGGTTGCGCTGTATTGGCCCCGCCCTTGTGCACAGGCTGTGAGCCAGGTTCAGGTTGATGACTCCTCGGCTCCTTGTACGATGTCCCCTTTCCTTTGAACAGCAACCCGCCAAAATGAATCTCAAGCAAAGTTGGCATGAAAGGTGGGATGATTAAATCACGCAAAGCGGGAAATACACAGGACTCCTATACATTTTGCATGTAAACCAAGCAGAAACCATGGCAGACAGCAAATGTTTACACCACCCTGTTTCCAACAAGGGAAGTGGACGCTTGGGGGCTTCCCCTGCCCAGGAAGGTGAAATCAGTCTTGCGAAACCCTCCAATCGTCAGCTTCCATTGGACAGGGGGGTCGGTTCCCCCAGGAAAATCCCCGTCAGCTTATGTGCTCCTTTGAGTTTCCTTGGATTTCTGCCACAAAGTAGTTCTCACCCCTAGCCTTGACGCCGTACTTCTCCCGCAGCCGCTGCAGGCTGTCAAGAAGGGGCTGAAAATTGGCCCTCTCCTGCCGAGCATTGGCACTGTGTTGGCCCGGGAAACCAGCGAAACCAGCGAAAAGCCTACAACTAGATTCAGTGCAGTAAACAAAACTCCAAAATTTCAATGGATCAATGGAAATTGGGTGACTCCAACTGGGTTCCAACACGGCTTGCACAAATGTCCGCAGGATTGTCCCTTGGTGCAAGACGGAACCACCTCTTTGTTAGATCCTGTTGAACGGGTCCCATTAAATTAGGTGACATCCCGAGAAGTACCCTCATGGTGCCCCCTCAACATGTTCACTGTAGCGGATGCACAAGCCTGAAGGTGGATAGTTCGTAAGACGAGGCCAAGCAAGGCCTTGGCGGTTTGGGGGCTCTTTACCTTTGTGCTGGGGGTGGTAGCGTCGGACCTCTCGGACAGGCAAATGTCCGGTGGCCGGTTTAATCTCCGGGAGCTGGGGCGGAGAAAGGCTTGTGCACACATGCGCTCGTGCGGACACATGTCAAGTAAAATCCCAGCTATGGTTGTCAAGGCCTTTCGCCGGACATCCTCCCCACAATTTATTCTTTAACCGGGCTGGGTTAGAGAGATCCCCGCAAGTACAAATTGGCTTTAGGTTCAAACTTCCAAGCAAAGTAAGGGAATCCCCCTTTGGTCGTTTTCGGAGGAAACTACGCGGGAAACCAACAGAAACCGCCCATGGCGCCTCCATGCACTGCTCCAGGGTGATGTTGAAGGTCTTCAGCATACTCAGAATCCACCGGATTCCAAAGAGCTCCCAAAATAAGGCACCCCCCAAAACACAACATGGGTGGTAGGGTTTCGTTTGGTTTTCGAGGGGCTCGATGCGTTCTTGAGGGCAATTTGAAGGATTGTCGCTGCGTGTTGACAAACATGCTTGGATCCGTTCAAATAATTATGTAAAGTAAGGTTAGCTTTGGATCAGGTTTCCCTTGGTGGTTTGAACTAGTGGTCTCGAGGGCCCCCGTCCAACACCAAGCCCTGAAAGCCCCACAAAGTACTCTCATAGCTTCTCGAATTGGCTTCCATGGCCTGTGGCGAATTGCATTGATGTTCGGGTATTGGAAGACGATCATCTTACAGCCCGGACCGTTTCACACCTCCCCACACCTTCTCACGCCTTCCTGTATACTGGGGTTCCTTTGATTTCCTCCTTAAACACCGAAGCCTGTGTACTTCCCTGGCTTGCTGGCTCTCAGGGAGTGAGGTTCAGCGGTTGATTCCCCTAAACTTTAGTGGTCAATGGAAAACAAGGGGCGCTCAATCCATGGGAAAACCACCAGTTCTCAAACCAAATCCGCTCGACTGGCAGGGCATTGTGGGGCCGAGGGGCTCCGCCATGGCGACGGGCATCGCCCCGGGGCCTGCGGTGGTGAGGAGGCAGACGCAGGGCAGCCGCAGCACCTGGCAAGCGTCCCGACCGATGGGGGGGGCGGGGGGCCGCGGGGTGGGGGGAGGTGTGTGGACCCGGTCCCCAATTCCATTCCCATAGAAGGGAAGATGGCTCACTAGAAGTGAAGATCTCCAGAAGTCACGTCCCTCCTCTACTTCCTTTTTAAGGGGGACCCAGCCAACTGCTAGTGTGTTTCACCTTACCCACAGTTGGTGGTTTGGAGCCCGGTGGTTTGGTGGCTAAGGGGTGGATTCCCATTTACCCTTTGCAAAAGGCAGGGGTTCAACCCAAGCCACGAATACGAAAGAACAACTGGGGGATACAAGTGCGCGTTGGGCAATAGAGAAGCGTTTTTCTTTGAAGTCACGCGCACTAGATCAGCAGAGCACAAAAAACAGTGACTCCAACAACTCTTGGCCCACATGTAAGGAACACAAACAATGATAGGCGACGACTCTGTCTGTGCCAAATTTAGTGAAGCCTAAATACATAATATATTTATATATATATATATATATATTTGGAGGCAACCGTGCAACTGGGTATGGAAAACAGAGGGCTTCCTCTGTAAAGCACCAAGTAAACTGACGGTGGCAGTGCGTAAAAACATCAACAGGCTGACACACTCACTGACTAGCACGCTTCCGGCTCATGCGCAATGAGGTTCTCAAGCATGACTGTTGGGTCCCTCGCGATTCCCTTGAAACCGCAGAGCTTTTCTCGAACCACCAAACTTGGGGGTGGTTTCCCCAAGCACCGCTTAGTTCGGGTGATTCTCAAGCTTCCGTCTCGTGGGCGCACCCCCCGCGCCTGCGCCCCCAGGGAGGCTTCGCGGTTCATGAGCGGGCAGCACACCACCGCCTCTGCGCGGATCCTTGGATCGCGCAAACTCCAGCGACCCAATCCCGCATTCCGGCATCCAAAGTCTTCCCAAGACAGACGGACAAGGGGCCTGAGACCAAGCCCCCCACTCGACTTCATGTTTCTTGGAAACGGTTGCAACAAGGGTGGTAGGTTCATCCCAATGATGACGGAGCTTGTCCAAGCAGGAGAACTACAAACAATCACTTGCTTTACAAGGGGGCCCTCGAAGTCACAAGTTAGGTTCTAACTGGCTTAAATGTACCCTTTAAGGATCCTGGTTTTGAGGTTGAGCGGTTCTTCAATGTTTGGTGGGGACACAAGAACCTTCCTTCCTGGCCAGGTGAGGGCGTTTTGTGCCGGCCCTCTCTAATTCGACAACTAACTTTATTGGTTTTCCCCGCCAAACATGTAAACATAACTTCGAAGCGGCCTTACAGAAACCTCCCTGGCGCATGCCAACAAAGAAGCAATTCTCAGTCTTCCTCAGGCTGCTGTGAGCCCTGTGGAGAACCAGCTGGGAGGACAAACCTACCAACTGGTACAGGCTTTTGTCCATCAACAGTATGTCGGGAACAATCCGGAACATATCCTTGCAAAGCTGGAGGGGGGCGGGAGGGGGGGGGAAGTCCAAACTTGATTTGGAAACAGCCACTTACATTGGGCCCGCTTGCTTGTGAGAAGCCTGGCCAGCCACCGCAGCAGGCCGGGCATCATCATCTCCAAGCCTGGGAGATAAGTACAGGGAATGAAGGATGGGCTTGTTGCCACGTTTTAGACAGGTTCGGCATATGTCCAAAATGAATCTGGCACCAAGCGTAGCGAGCGGTGAATTACAATAACACTTGGAGAGCCAAATGCTGTCAGGAGGACGCTTGAACAGATCCCTTGCCACTTTGTTTGAAGTTCGGCCTCCAAAAGAAAGTGGCTGCCAAGTCAGGAGAACCCCAGCAAGTCACAGTCTATGAGTTGGTGGTTGGTCAGAAGTGGCCCTGTGCCACAAGAAGTTTGTTTTGTTGCAAAGTTCAGGTGCTGTTTTTGAGGGGTTGGTCCGAAGTGAAAACTGATGCTGTCAAATGTGTGAACTGTTTAAGGGTCGGGCTTGTTTGAAGATGGTTAAAGGCTCCGCACACCTGTCCTCTTCCCAAGCTTCAGGTAAGAGGTGAGAGGTCCGACTAGAATCCAAGAAGCAAATCTCCTTGAGCTTGGTGAAGGCTATCCTGAGATCAGGGCTCGCGCAGCCCGGGGAAACCACGTCGCTTTCAACAAACCGTGCAAAAGGAAGTACATGGAGGCCCTTGCAGGTCTGGAAGCCTCTTCTCTATCTCTGTCTCGCTCTCTCTCCCTCTCTCTCTCTGTCTCTCTCTCTGGTCTCCCTCTGTCTCTCTCTCCCTCTGTCTCTCTCTCTCTCTCTCTCTGTCTCTGTCTCTGTCTCTCTCTCTCTCTCTCTCTCTCTCTCTCTCTCTCTGTTCTCTCTCTGCTCTCTCTCTGGTCTCCCTCTGTCTTTCTCTCTCTCTCTCTGTCCCTCTCTCTGGTCTCCCTCTGTCTCTCTCTCTCTCTCTCTCTCTGTCTCTCTCTCTCTCTCTATCTGTCTCTCTCTGTCTATCTCTCCCTCTGCCTCTCTCTCTGTCTCTCTCTGTCTCTATCTGTCTCTCTCTGTCTCTCTCTCTCTCTCTCTCTCTCTCCTCTCTCTCTCCCTCTCCCTCCCCCCCTCTCTCTCTCTCTCTCTCTCTCTCTCTCTCTCTCTCTCTCTCTCTCTCTCTCTCTCTCTCTCTCCCTCTCTCTCCCTCTCTCTCTCCCCCTCCATCTCTCTCTCATGCTCAGTATCAGTCTAGTTATCAGGTTTGTTCTCCTTCTCATGTCATTAAGTCATTCATTCACTCATGTTCGAATTCATGCGCGCCTGCGGCTTCTTCTTTTTGCAGCACATCATGTTTCTTTCGTAGGAGCAATGTATGTTCAATAAGCTCTTGAGTGCAGCATTGTGTTGCTTCTTCCCCTCTACGTCCCAAGTCGCGGGTCTTTCGTAATGCAATTGATTCTTTTTGCGAAGACTTTGCAAACATGCTTGGCACAATTGCGGTGGCGCTTCTTTAGCACTGCCCCCCCCTCCTCCCCATTAGGGAGGAGAGGGCGGGGCCCTAGCACTGGTATCAACGAAGAACCATATCCTCTCATTGCCACAGGCTCATTGCATGCTACGCAGCCACAGGATTCGAACCCGGCGCTAGGAATATGGAGAAGCAAAAGCAATGGCCTCTGGGAGTGTGGACAATGCCTCGAGCCACAATTTGACAAATGCCGGGAAAGGCAACTGGTTGTCTAACAACCAGAGTGTCGGGAAAAGGCCACTGTTTGTTTACCTTTGTTCCATCCAACCAGTCTGGGGAAGGAAGCCTCATGCGGTGGCTGTGACCTTTAGGCACCCCGTTGCCGGCCCCGGAGATTCTGCAGGGCCACTTGCTGGCGGGGGGGTTGCTCTGGCGTTTAGCTATGAAGGAACTCGAAAACACACCTTAGCCAAGGCAACCAACCAACCAGCCAACCAACCAACCAGCCAGCCAGCCAGCCAGCCAGCCCAGTTTGTTGGGTTTCGCCAAGTTTGTGCCACCTAAATTCGGAAACCCCATCTTGCTTTGGCCCAATGCGGCTCTCGGCTCTAAGCTCTTGCGCCCGTGGCCATATGGCCACATGGATGCTCTTCATATCAGTGAACAAGTCCCGAAAAATGGAGTTTATCCCGCGTATACTCCGCTGAGGAGGCTTAATGTCCACCTACGATTAATAAATGTTCCTCAAATACAGTTGCTTGGGGCCCCGGACTGATTAATCAATGGGTCCTAAATAAAGTTTTTGGCCAGCCCCCCTCCAACAGCACCAGCTCCCCATCCCAACCTCTTCAAAATCCCCACATCAAAATCCGAAGCCAACCCGTTCTTGCCAAAGCAAGCTCTTTCCTTGGGTGATGCTCAACATCCCAAGCTACAGGAGTTCCCAGACCTCATGTTTTTGTTTAAGCTCTCTGTTGAAAAAATAAAATAAAAAATCAATCCCACAAAGGAGGCACCACACGGGCCAAATAAAGTGTTGTGGCCAGCCCTCCAAAAGCACCAGCTCCCCCCAACAAAAACAATCCCACAAATTGAATTTGTATAACTGAAACCAACTGCAAAGACTCTCCAACTCCAAATTTGCAGTTGCAATGCTAAAGTCAATTGAAAAGACCCCCAAAAAATGCATTTCTAAACTAGTATTCCCAATACTTAGTTGAGTATTGGTATACTTTTCCAACTTTGTTTGAGGGACCTCGGTTGTTTGGCGGGGGGAGGGGTTTATTAATCAGAGGTGGACATTAACCGGGGATACAAGCCCCTTGCTGCGTGGGGTGGTCTTGCAGCAAATGGATCCCCCAGCAACGGGCCACAGGCGGGCCGCATGTAGGGGTCATCCTCCAGGCCAAACTCTATGCGCAGGTCATTCAATGCAGCGAAGAGGTCGGGCGTGCGGCCCTCGTACAACTCCGGCATCTCCTTGTGGAACCCTCCCTAAGCAAAAAGAAGCGAAACATGTTGAGGAGGGGTTGCGTTCAAGGGCCCTGTGAGAAAGCAGGACCTGAGTACCTTGCAAGCAGACCACTGTTGACAGGGACAAGAACTGTTTGATTCATTCGGGGCGTCCTCTTTGAGAGGAGACCCTTCACTTATAAATGGGGGCAAAGCCCTCCCCCAAACTCCGGCATGTTTATTGAGCCGGGTCAGCATTGGAAGACCATGCTGAGTCAAAGGATCTAGTGTCCCCCCCCTTCCCTGGCTGCAGTCCAAGTTGCTTTCAGCAGCTGGCTCAGGGCTTCAAAGTGCCATAAGCTAATCGACACCCTACAAACTCGTGCCGGGTCACCATGTTGGTCCCCACCTACTCCCCTCTTAAGGGGGCTACCCCCAAATTTCGATTGGAAATTGCGGTGTAGTCCAGTACGCGCAGAATGAGGCCTGAGTAAGGCCTTGTAAGGGCATAGGCCCCGCCCCATAACCACGTGCATTGCGAGGCCCGTCCTCCATGTCTGAGTGGAAGGTGGCCCCTGTGTCCTCGATCGCCTCCCGCATCTGCTCCCGGCTGATGTAGTGAACCTGATGGCCTCATCCCAATGACATGGGCTTAGGCGCCCAGAAGCCCAAGACTTTCTGGGGGGGGGTAGGATGGTCCGATTGCCTTCCCTTCAGTTTTGGCTTGGGGGCCCTTCCCCACTTCATCCTCACTTGGGGTTGAATGGACCTCTAAAAATGAACGTGGGGTGAAACAGTAACAGAAACGAAACAAGGACTCGTCAGTGAACGGGGAAAGTTGCTTCGATTCCAGGAAGTGTTGTAGACTTGCCTTCTGGTCTCTACACTGGGGGAAAGCCACCAAGCCACCAAGCCACCAGTGCCACCGTTTGAGCGGAACCCTCCGTCTCCTGATCCAACCAACTTGCGTGTGTCTTGTTATAGGGTGCCCTTACAATGGTGGTGGTATGTGGTGGTCTTTTCAGGTTTCCTTCAAGAGCCAACTCCCAAAAGAAAAACATGCGTACCTTCCAAAAAACTGACACGCCCAAGCTTCCTGCATGTCCTTACAGAACTCCTGGTAGCGCCAAAAGGCTCCCTCCTTAAAAGCATGATATCCCCAGCTATCAGTCCGGCTCCGATTCAACCACCAGCTAGCACCTTTTGGGGTTGGTTTAAAGGGACACCGCAAGGAATCCAACCATTTGGAGGGGTCAAATCTATTTTGAGACCAGTGCCACACCTTTTGTGTGAGGGAATCCCTCCGTTTCCTGGTCCAACAAACTTGTGTGTGTGCGTGCGCGTTAACATGCTGGTTTTCCTGTTGGCTTTCCTTTAAAACCAACGACAAAAACATGTGCCCTGAAAAAAATACGCTTATCCAAACAAAAACACCAACACAAGACACACAAAAAACACACCAAACTCGAGAAAACAAAATCTACCGAGTCCTCCAAAGAAACACACCCAAAATGGGATGGACATCATCAGCCCCGGCCCCCCAACTGGGCTCTTAGAACCTTCTAGTATCCTCCTGGGGGCTGAACATTCCCTGACAAACCCCCACCCCCCTACCAAGAACTGGGGTTGGTGAGCATGGGGTCAACAATACCTTCCCGAAAACAAATCGACCCCCCAAACGCTAGAAACCCTCAGGTGTGTACCCCCCCCCCCCAAACCCAAAAAAAAACGACACGCCCAAACCGGGTGACACGCTCACCGCTCACCCACCGGCCCCCTCCGGTCGAGCCTAGGCTCACCAGACGTCGGGCCAGCGGCAGCGATGGGTTCATATGCCCCGAGGCCATGGGGAAGACGAAGGCGAACCTCGGAGACCCGATCGAACCTTACCGTGGAACCCACTGCGCGTGTGTTGTTGGCGAATATATGTTTCATGAGATGTTTTTTCTCGAAAAAAATCAAAGGGAAACCATCAGTTTAGGGTGCGAGCTTTATGCCTTGGTTTTGAGACCACCCCTTTTGGTGCTGTTCTACGGAAATCTCCAAGGACACCTCTCTCATTTTTTAGGGGAATTCCACTGCGGAAATGGGCGAGGTTTTTAGGGCGCTGTGTTCAGCTTGGCTAAAAGGAAAACTGCGCCTGGTTGCCCCCCTTAGCCCCATTTCGGTTGGCCCCAATGGATATATCGTGGATGTCTTCTGATATCAGCCGCATAACCATAAGTGCAGTAGGCAAACATGTCTGGCGATGTTCTACCATGTTTGTCCGGCAAATGCAGGCGAGGGAGGTGGCTAAGGCCCTCAATGGTCCCGGAAACCTACTTCAGTCATTCTTGAGCTCTCTGAAGTGGGCAACCCCAACAACATCAACCCAAAGACCGTCAAACATGGCCCTCCCGAAAAGCAAAGTTAAACACCCGCTCAGCTACGATGTACTGGTGACCCCACATCTAAGCAGAATCCATCCCTTTCATAGGGGTGATCCCCCAAATCGGGTGAGAACACCTTTGCACTAGCCTAGAAGCCCTTCCACCTGAGGGTTAAGTACGTGCACAAACTAAGCGTCCAACAAGACGCCCCATTTTGGAGACATGGCCATGTCATGCAGATATTGCCACTGTTGTGAACTCTACGTAATTATTGTCCAAAAGTTACCGTGCCAGATGTTGAAAACCTCCTAGAAATACAAGGCAAATCTTCGGGGACCTTGGCTAAACATACTCCAACATGGAAAAGCAACAGGTCAAACTCTCAGCCAAGCTCCAGCAGTTTCCTCCCCCCTGAGCCCCCAAAGAAAGGCCGAGACTCGTACCTCAGAATGGAGACCCCCAAACCACATTGCACTGCCAACTCGGTCAAACCAATTCCCTAATATGGGCCCTGGGATGCCTTTCAATGAGAGCCAAAAAGGAAACACCTTGCTTGGAGCGGGGTGGTCCATACTATTTCTGATCAGAAATCCCCCAGGCGACACGGCTGACCTTTGGCTTTTCCCGATTCCGATGGAAGTGATCCTCAGAAATCTCTGGCTCCAGCCGTCGTCACTTGGCCATGGGGTCAATCCCGCACCCCCAGGGAACATCTCAATCCCCACTAAAATAGACTAAAATGAGTGGTGCACCTATCCCAAAATCGTACCATTGGTTTTGACCCACAGCCACTTGATTTTCTTCTTTCCAGGGCCCCCGGCCGGCGGGCCATGGCGATTCAACGCGAAAGGAGAGCGACGCGCTGGGTGGCGATTTCGATCTTCAGCCCAAATGCTGATCGCGGGCTGCTTGAACAGGGCTGTGGGACATAGAATCCACTTATGTGATACGGCTTCCCCCATAAAAGGGGGCAGATTCTGTGTAAAGTGGGGCTCAACCCCTTGATCCCACCAACCCTGGTGCTTGAACTGAGCCGGAGAATGTTGACCCCGGATTATGTAAACCCCTGCTTGATGTCGTTCGGGGGGTGTCCCTCTTTGAGTGGGGGTTCACACCACCCGGTCGAGGGAGAACCTGCGCAGCCCCTGCCCAGTTTCTGGAAATAGGTGCTTGTGCCGTCTTCGCACAAATGATGCTCAAATTATCCATTTGGGTGTCTCTTTGTTTGTTTTAATTATTATAGTGTTTTTTTTGTTTGTTTGTTTGTATTTGTTTTGTCCGGAACCGAGCGCCCCCCACAACAAAATGGCTTCGGTTCGGTGTTCCTCTTGGTTTCCCTTTAAAACCACAGAAGCAGGGTAACTCGAAAGAACTACAAGCCACCCATTTAGCAAGGGAAGCTATAGGAAGAGTTCGTTTTTTTTTGACCCGATCTTTTCATCCAGGGCTTCCTCTTGGGAAGAAGAAACTCGGGTTTGAGTGCACCTTCCAGTCAACACATGGAACCAACAGGCCCCCCGCCTAGTGGATGTGCACGACCTCCTGAATTAATATCCTTGCTTTCCGCGCTACCCAGGCGATCGGAAAAAAACCTGGCACAATACAATATGGGTCTGTCTTTTCTTGGGTGCAGACGCGGGGGCTTCCTCAACAGGAAAGTCGGCCTCCAACCCCATTCCTTTCAAAGTACTGGGAGAGGCTACTACTTGAACAATGCCCATGCACTAGGCCCGATCACCTCAGAAAAGCCCTGGAATTGAACTGGGATTGTGTCAAAACTTGAAGATCAAGTCTGGGCTTTGCAAACGGCGAGCAGCAAACAGGGCCTGCATAGCCAAACATACGAACAAGTAAAGCCACTCAAACTACACCAAGGCAGCACATAGCAACAAGTAAAACAAAATACTATGGACGAAACCCTGCACCACCTCGCACCACCTAAGAAACCATGGAATGATGACTCCCTCGTATATAGCAAACATGCAAGGGTTTCCCAGGGTTTCAAAGTAGTGCAGGATTTCGTTGAACCACATCAGCACTTTGGTGTCTAAATCCTGGGCTGCGCACTTACATCTTCTCTCCTCGGGGTCTGAATGCGATGCAGGTCCTGTTTCTTAGTTGGCTGCTTTTAGGTAGTGAACTTGCGTGATCATGTCCAGCTCAGCCTTCGCACCCGATCGACACAATGTTCTACTCTGGTACATAGATTAAAGTGAACCAACAATTTCAAGTTTCAAAAGAGAACCCACGTGCATCTCGTGATCTGCGAACATTCATGCGGACAATTGCCAGCAGGACCTGCTTCGTTGGGTCCCCTACCTGTTGCCGACGTCCAACCCCGAGAGCAGCCTTGGAACCGCTTGGCGCACGCCATAGCTAAGGCCGAATGCTTGTTGGCAGAAAGTGGCAGCTGCTTGAGATGTGTTCGAAGCCCTTGTGCGGGTCATGGGAGGAGTGCCCAGCTGGATCCAGAATTTGCGGTGCAGCGAGGCAGTTGAAGCCAACCTTGGCTACGATTGCTGAAGCTCGAGCTCGGGACCCAAGGCTAAACAATTCTAAACTTTGACGCGGGCCTGCCGCGCACCCCTAATTGGTACAGCCCGATCGGCAAAAACATTTTCCAGCACAAAAAACATTGATTTCAATTCCAGCACAACTAAAACGTTGTGTGATTTCCATTTTGTTTAATCTGATTTCCAAATGCCATTTGCAACTACGATCACCTGCAAACCACCTTCTCCCACGGATAATCTGGGGTTAACCTACGCTAACGAAAGCAAAGCAACTCTTGACGCCAAAGAAACACCAGAAACAGCTATGCTGCTTCAGCTGACCATCACGCGTGTTTGGTCCTGGCAACTGCAGCATGGTCGCGAAAGAGATCCCAGTTTTGGAGAGGTATCTTGGAGCATAATTTTGCATCATGATGCGGGAGGTTAGGCAGGCTGTGAGCCTGTGCGTGCTAGACAGTAAAAACATGGAAGATGATCTGGGTGTTTTCTTTGGAGGATAGCCCTTGCGGCGGCCAGTTCAAAGGGATGCCTTTTCGAGTTGCCCCAATCTGGCCGTGCAGGTGCGCTCCTTTGATGTCCGTTTCAACTAGACCCACTAGGGCATCCAAAAACCCCGGCCCAGTTGGACGGCGCGTCTCGCGGCATTTCTTTGGCGCAGCTTCTGCCTCCGATCTCCGCTGAGAGCCTCGAGTTGCCGAGGGGCTTCGTGAGAAGAGTGTCACTCAACGGCGCCCAACCCAGGCCTCTGGTGGAATTGCAGCGGAAAGAGGGGCACCCTGTCTAGATCCTCCAGTAGAGAGGTTAGAACAAGGGTACCCTTTTTTCTCTGTAGTCTATTTTAGAGGGCAACCGTCCCCCAAAAAAAGGGTAAAAGGGCGCTACTGGGGGACCTAGTTTTTTGGGCTTGAAGAACCCCACCGAACCCAGTTGAAAACAGGGAACTCCTGGAGGACTGTCAGAGGCAACCACGCATTCTTGACGACCCCTGTCTGATTCGTGGGTAGAACCATGGCTGAGACACTCCATCTCTTTTCTTGGCCCGCTTGCCCAGTAGTTGACCATTTGGAGTGAGGAATCCACCAAAGTGCAAAAGGTAAAAGAGGCCCTGACCATCTGGGTCAGGGTTTAAGCCTTTTGATACACCAACCTTTGCCCGAGCATAACGCACTGCAAAGCCCTACAAGCTCCACTCGACAACGATTGGAAGATATTGAAAGCAAAAACAAGGCAAACTCTTGTAAATTACAGTCGCACGTGGTTGGTTCACATGCCGAATAGTCTCAGTTGCCCAAAGGACCCAGGAATGAAAAGTTAACCTTTTGGGGCCGTGACTAAACATGTGCAAAAAGGGGAACACCAAAAGGTCAAAAGGTCGCCTTTAGGCAACTGAGTAACCACACCCAGCCACAACACCACAGTAAATCGCGGTAAATTGCAGGGTGTCTCTTCCCCCTGCATGCAATATGGGTTTCTCTCCAAACAGAGGAGCCACAACAACAGTGGTCTCCTTCTGACTTCCGTTTAAGCAACGCACACAGGGTACCTCCAAAATATGACACACCCGTTTTCAGGATATCCTGCCCACAAAGCAAAGTCTTCAAGAGGTGTATCACCGCGCAAAGACAAGAGCGCTAAATGAGTACACTTGGTTACATCCACAGATGGGGCATTAAAAGGCGGGACACCAGCATGCACCCACCAACATCTAGTACAACAATTGGGGCATCCAAACCTCGCTTCCCATTGGCCAAAAATTGTAACCAACTTCGTCGTTTAAAAACTAAACTGGTCTTCCCAAGAAGGTTTAAAGTCCAGGAGCCCAGAAATTAGAAGCTGTCGTCTGGAAAGTCAGCACCATGAGCCCCAAGCGGCTAAGCGTCAGATTTTGGCGCCGCGTACTCGGCCTGCCGATGGGCACGAATCGGGCTGAACATCCAGAGCCGGTCCAGAGCCCAACGCTGGGAGGCGTTGGCATCTGCAACCAAACGACAGACCTGCTACAAGCTTCGCTGGTGGTTGGGTGCTTATTAATGGATTCCCATTCACCCTCTACAAGAACCAGGGTTTCAAATCCCCAAACTACCGATCCGCACGACTTTCAAACCACCAACCAAGTCTTACCTGATACGGCAACGCACTAGACAGCAAAGAACCCCAAAAAAACGGGCATTTGGTTCTGCTGGCTGCAGAAATGGGAAGGCAGTTCAACAGAGTTGTCAGGTAACGGCGATTCCCTCCAGCGTAACGCCTCAAGGGTCCTCAAGAAAGCCACCCTGAGTCTCGTGTTTCCCAGGCCCCCAGTGGCCATGGTAAAAGAAAAAGCACCGGTTTTTGTTGGTAATGTTGACCCAGGATTAATAAACCCGTCCCACAATTAGGGGGGTGTTCCCTCCAAAAGTGATGAATCCCCACTACAAGGGGACAACTCCCTATTAATCAACCAGGGGTTGATTAATCCGGGGTTAACATTAGCTGATTTAAGAAAAAGAAATCCCTTCCAGAAGAAAGGGGCAAGGGTACCATATTTGGTACCGGGGCCAACGTCCACGTCTGGGACTTGCATCTGGGTATCATGCCAACGGTTGCTCGCTCAGTGGAGGTCTCTGCGTTTCCGAACCTTTGCGCCTGGGAGCATCACCGCTCCCAAATGGATTGCTTGTTCTTGTGCCGCTGGTCTCCCCACACCTAGCAGTGATCCAGTGATCTGGGATTCGATTGCAGCCCAGAGCCCAGTGACCCGGATCGAAACAAATCGAAGCCTTTGTTGGCTTGATGTCTTTACAGGGGAGCCTACCAAACAAAAAGGGAACAAGGGCGCCAAGTGGCACTGAACTGGTATGATCAGTCGACCTTTTGCTCCACATGAGTGCCACCCAGTGAGGTAAGTCCCCAGGAATTCAACATTGGTACACACCACTCATGAACATTCTGAAGCATCTGTGATCGATCCCGCCTGTAGCTGGGATTCTGCTTCACATGCCGCTTAGCAACAGAAAGCACATCCCCAAATCGGGCTCAGAGGCCATAAAGGCTCCATCTCCTCAAGCGCCATTCTTGAAACCTTCTTAGGTCCTGCGAACCTTTTGATTGGCAGCACTTGGGCTGGACCCGAAGAATCAGCTGAACTCCGTGCCACAAAATCACCTTCCCAAAACTTCAATGGCTCAAGGGGGATGACTTGAATCTAGTGGGGCAACGAGGGAAAGACCTAGGCCTTGCGAAGCCAACCTGCAGAAGGCTTTAGAGAGATGCGACGTTATGGTCCTGAGCCACTTGGCAACACACAAATTACGTTTGCACTCTCAACACTACAGGGGTC